GGCCTTGCCCCCAGGACCGAGGAAGAAAACCAGCAATGGGTTCTTTTTTCTTTTTTGTCGGTCGTGGGGTTGAACTCGGGCCCGGGCGCTGGCCCGCAGCGCTACCGTTTACCGCAGCTTCCGTGGAGCTGAGGAGTGGAACCCGGCCTGGGGCTTGCGGGGCGGGCGCTCCCGGCCACCCGCGGGGGGTTCCCGCAGACCTGTCCGGCCGGCGCGGGACCGCGGCAGAACCGCGTCCCGGGCAGCGCCACGGCCCGTTTTGCCTCCGCATTTTTTTTTCTTTCGTCCGTTGTGGGGCTTGAACTCGGGCCCGGGCGCTGTCCGTGAGCCCCGCGCCACGCGTGTTTTTTCCCGCGGTTGATTGGCGATGGGGGTCTCACGGCCTTGCCCGCGCCAGCCGGACGGCGGGCCCGAGCCCCGGCGCGCCAGCGCTGCCTGGAGCTGCCGGTCCTTCCCGCGCAGCCGGGAGGCAGCCGCGGGCCACCGCACCGCGTTTGACTGGTTGAGATGAGGCCTCGTGAGCTTTTTGCCCGGATTGGCCTCCAAGTACAATTCCTCCCACCTCAGCCTGGCATGAGGGATTCCAGGCATGCTCCACCATGCCCGGCTCGTATGTTTTTTATGTTTTTGAATGGCTAGAAGTGGGGCCTGGGAGGGTTTCGTGTGTGTTGGGCATCTGCGTTACCACCGAGCTGCGCCCTAAGCCCTTGGTTTTGCCAGTCTTGGGGCTTGAACTCAGGGCCTGGGCACTGTCCCTTTGCTCAAGACTACTGCTGCTCTACCACTTGAGCCGCAGCGCCACTTCCAGCCTTTTCTGTGTACGTGGTACTGAGGAATCGAACCCAGGGCCTCGAGCCGCCTTCCCGGCCCAAGCCCTTGGTTTATGGAGACAGGCCTCCCTGTGTAGCCCAGGCGCCGCCTGCGCCTCCCCGGTGCCGGGCTCACAGCCCGCGCTGTCCGGCGGAAGCTGCCCCGGAGCTTCGTTCCTCCTCGCCTGAACCTGTCTACTTGGGACCCGTCCTCACTGGCGGCCCCCCCCCC